ATAAAATTTCCAATAAAATCATAGAAAATACAGCAGCTTGTGTTATTCAAAAAGCAATTCGTTCAATGCTTTATTCTAAAGAAGAAAAAAGATATCTCTATTGTGGTAATGTAGTGAAAGAATTCATTACAACAGAAAACACATATTGTGAACAGTTAGGTGTTGTAGAAAATTTAATCCATCAACCTTTAATAAAACAAGAAAAACCACTCTTAACTCCTGAACAAATTAAATTAATATTTGGAGGTGTTTCAGTCATTTACGGTGTCAATACAGCTTTATTACAGAATTTGAGAGAAAAACTTTCAGTCTATACACAAAGTTCTCGATTTGGTCATATTGTATTGACTTTTACTCCATTGTTGAGAGTTTATAGTGATTATTGTCAAACATATCCTCAAGTCAGTCAATTAGTAAGTTCTATGAAAGTACCACACCCTTTTGGGACATTCTACAAACTACAAATGAAACAAGCACCAGAACATCTACAACGATTTGATTTACTCTCACTTCTAATCACGCCAATCCAACGATTACCAAGATATAGACTGTTATTGAAGGATTTATTAAAACATTTACGACCAAGTGATATCGATTATGAGGACGTAAAAAAGGCATTGAATGAAATCGAAAAAGTAACTTCATTTGTTAACACTCAAAGCAAAAAACAAGAGAATATGGAAAAAGTTGTTAACTTATATTCTCAAATAAAAGGAATACCAGAAGATATTCAACTAATTCAACCTGGAAGAGAACTTATCAATTCTACTTCAGTATTAATGAAACAAAAATATGTCCAACTTACAGACAATGGAAAAGAGATTGCGGTCTTAACAATTCCTTTATTTAACCAAATGAAAAAAGAACCAAACAACTTGTTAATAAAAACCCCAACTATTACTACTAATTTTATTGAAAAAGAAATGCCTGTTGATATTATATTATTTACTGACATCATTTTGTTTGTTGAGAAAAATAAATCACTTTTCTCAGGTGAAACTCTTCAATTCAGATTAGTTATAAATATTGGAGATGCTGCAATTTTTAGAAATAACAATGAAATTCAAATCCGCTATTCTGAAGAAACAATCAAACTCATTTTTGCTGATAAAGAAAATGAAGACTTATGGTACAACATTCTTAGTGACACTTTTGTTCATTGCCATGACATCATACAAAATTTACAACAACGCCGTAAATCACTTCGTTATTGATTTATTATCGTAATTCTTTTTCTCTTTAAAAAATATCTATTTCTATAAAATTAAAAAAAAGCATTTCAACTTATTTACTGTCAGTAGTTGAAACAACATCTACTGGTAATGGACATTTTTGAACATTCCATACATTTGAAGCATATTCTTCAATAGATCTATCAGATGAGAATTTACCCATACGAGCAACACATCTAATACATTTGGTGGTCCATTCTTGTGGGTTTTTCCAAACTGAATCAATATGTTCTTGGACCTTGACGTATCCGTCAAAGTCTCTACAGACCAAATAATAATCACTTCCTCCACGGAATTGGTCAATAACAAATTTGTGAATTGAGGCATCACCAAACATTCCATTGTCAATAGCAGCTAATACTTCTGCAAGGTCTTTACTAATTGGAATTGGGTTAGCACGAATTCCTGCTACTTCATATGCCTTAGCTCCAAACATAAACATATTTTCTTCTCCAACTTCTTCTGCAATTTCAACATTAGCACCATCCCATGTACCAACAATAAGTCCTCCATTCATAACAAACTTCATACAAGAAGTTCCAGATGCCTCATATCCAGCAGTTGAGATTTGTTCATTAATATCGTTTGCTGGAATAATAACTTCTGCCAATGAAACACTGTAATTTGGAATGAAAACAACCTTTAATAAATTTCCTACTTCTGGGTCATTGTTTACAGTATCAGCAACAGAGTTAATTAACTTAATAATTCCTTTAGCCATGTCATATCCAATGGCAGCTTTTCCTGCAAAGATTTTTACTCTTGGGACAAGTTTCATTCTTTGCATTGGTGTCATCTTTTTGATTTGAAGATATGTATGAATAGTACCAAAGAGATTTAACAATTGTCTCTTATATTCATGAATTCTCTTGACCATAACATCAAACAATGCATTTCTGTCTAATACAACTTTAGAATCTGTCAATCTAAAAACAAGTCTCTTTAATCTGTCTTTGTTAAGTTGTTTAACATGAATGAACTTTTCAATCAACTCATGGTTAAATACATTCTCAAGACCTTTGACAAGTGATAAATTAGATACCCATTCATCAGTTTTAATTGCTTCAGTAATCACTTGACTTAAAGCTGGATTACATTGTTTGATCCATCTTCTTGGTGTAACTCCGTTAGTGACATTAATAAATTTATGAGGCCATAAAACATAGAAATGATTAAAGAGTGAGTCTTTAAGAATTTGTGAATGAATAGCAGCAACTCCGTTGACGGTATGGGAACAAATAATGGCAAGATTTGCCATTCTTAATCTTTTTGGTGTACTTTCCTCAACAAGTGATAATTTACTTAATTGTTCTCCAGAAACATGTGGGAATTGTTTCTTAACTGAATCAAGGAAGTGTTGATTAATTTGGTATGCAAGTTGAAGATGTCTTGGTAACAATTGTCCAAACAAATCAACTGGCCATGTTTCAAGTGCCTCTGGTAAAACTGTATGATTGGTGTATGAGAATGTTTTGTTAGTAATGTCAAATGCTTCTTCAAAATCAACTCCTTCAATATCAATTAATACTCTCATTAATTCAAGTGCCCCAACAACTGGATGAGTATCATTTAATTGAATAGAGTTATAATCTGGGAATTCTTCAATAGACTTTTTCATCTTCTTAAATCTTCTCACTACATCAAGAATAGTAGCACTAGAGAAGAAGTACTCTTGTTTTAAACGGAGTTCTTGACCTTTAATATGATTATTCTTTGGATAAAGAACTTTACAAATATTTTCTTGTTTTTGTTGATTGTCAAGTGCATTCCAATAAATTTGGCTATTTTCATCTCCATTAAATCCTTCTAAATCAAATTCATTAACTGGTTGTGAACTCCACAATCTCAAATTCAAAGTGTTGAGTGTCTTATATCCAGGGATTGGCATATCAAATGCAACTGCATTAACAGATGAACTATTTTCCCATCTATATTTTAATTTACCTTTAACGTCTTTAACAGTAACAACATGACCACCAAATTTAATTTCATACTTAACATCTTGTCTAACAATCTCCCATGGATTACCTGCTTCAGCCAATACTCTGGCATTTCTACTTGATACCCTCCAACAATTCCTTGTTTAAACATACCATATTGATATCTAATACCATATCCCCATGCTGGATAATTTAATGTAGCAAGAGATCAAGGAACATGCTGCAAGTCTTCCAAGTCTCTCAGATCCAAGAGCAGCATCTTCTTCATATTCATATAATTCTTTCATAGAAGATCCAAAGAATTTTAGTGCATCAGTGTATGGTGCTTCAAGGTCCAAATTACAAATAGAATTCATTAAAGAACGTCCAATAAGATATTCAATGGACATATAATAAACTCGTTTAGTTTGAACATCAGTAAAATATGATTGAGTATCATTCCAAAATTCTAACATACGGTCTCTTAATGAATAAGCAGCAGCTTGATAAATAGCATATGGTCTAAAATCAAGTCTATTACATGCTAATGTATATTCTAAATGGTTTGCAATTTGTCTTTTAATAGTTTCGACATCTTTAGACAAATACATAGAACAATAATCCCATAATTTTTTAAATTTATCATCTTCAAAATTAATAGGAATTCCATCTGCAGTGGTTCTTCCTGCTTTAAGTTTATTCATAGAAACTGATCGTCTAATTTGTGTGGTCATCACTTTCCTTGTTTTTTTTACTAGTTTTCTTTTTAAGTTCTTATTTTAGGGCAAATGCTTTATTTATAGTTAATCTTCTATTAGCTGATTTTCTTCATTCAAACCATAACTATATTTGAAAGTTCTCTTCGTTTTTTGCTTGTTCTTCTTATTTTCTTAATAACAAAATTATCTATGTTCGTGTTTTAGGGTTATAAAGATGAAATGAACATATACAAAACAAAAATCAATCAATTTTTCTTCTTATGCAATGGTTTCATTGGTTCAATATTCATTCCTTTTCTTATAATAACTTCTGGTTGTGTTAATTTATTGTGTGTTAATAATGATGTCCATTCTTTACCAATTGCAGTATTAAGATATTTTTTGTATTGAGTAACATTAGCAAATTCTTTTGGAACTCTTTCTAAAGTATACTTGGAAAATTTGTTGTCAAATCTTTGATTGAAAACAATTGTATTTTTACGTTTATGTGGTTTTTTTTCTTCTTTGTTTTTCTTTGTTTTCTTTTGAATACCTTCTCCAACCCAATTACCCCATCCAGGAATTGATTTTTGATCTTCTTCTTCTTTTTGTTTTTTATTTTCTTCATCAATTTCTTCTATTTCATTCATTACATCATCTTCTGCAAATGCAAGTCTTAAAATTTCTTTTTGGTCTTCTTTGAATAC